GTGTATGTATGTATGTGTGTGTGTGTGCATATACAGGTGTATACATGCTGAGCTCAGAGCACACCTCTCAGGAGTCAGTCTGTCCCACTACTTTGTGGGATCTGGAGATTGTACTTAGATGGTCAAGCCTGGGCATAGTTACTGAGCCTTTAGTTACTGAATAATCTCAGCCTGACATTTTAGGTTTAAAACTAGGATTAGGAACAAAAAGGAGACATAATGAGCTATTAAAATATTCCTTCAAGTTCTAGAAATTCAGTTTATGTCAGCAGGTAAGCAAGGCTACTAAAAAGTCATCACGCCAACTCACTTTTGTGCAAAAGTTTTCTCTGGAAGTTCAGGAGCAGCCATTGAACTTTTCCCCTGACTATCTTAACACATCTTTTTTTATATTTGCGAGTCTGGCCAGGATTGGAAGCAGAGGTGCGAAAGGATTTTAAGAGTGATGTTTTTGCAATACTTTGAGCCAGGAGTAAGCAAGCAAGAAATTCTAAAATGTCTTGAGAAACTTTGTCCTCAAAAAACAGCCTAGCTTGTATTTAAGTAAGAGTTAGGCATGTTGATATTCATAGAAAAACGGAGATTTATATGAACAGAAAGAAGACCTGTAGTTCTTCTAACATGTTCATCTTTGTAGGGCTATAACACCCTCTGATGGTCACACTCACTGTATCAGGAAGGAAAGTCTAGGGCAGTTGCTTTTATTTTAAAAGCGAGAAAACTGAAGCCTGATGTTCAACAATGGGGTTTGTTTTGTTGTTTTTTACCTGATAGGCACTCAGACACACTTTCAGGATTCATGATCTAATTATAAATGAAAATTATTCTGAAATACTGGAATTAAACCTTAGTTTTCAGTACCATCCAGGCCTGCAGGTGCAGGTTTTTCCTTTAAGGACAATGAAAAGATTTTAAGTTTATAGGTATGCATGCTGCCATGCTCCCTCTATACACTTTCTTGGAAGTAATCATTAACCAACCCTCTGCTTTCAGGCTTTATTATAAACTATGACTTGGTATTAATTAAAAAAGATAGAAGAAACCAGAAAACTCCAGATTCTTATAAAATTGATGAGTTTATTATTAAAGCAAAGGAGAATTTGGATTCCAAAATTTCTGGGTGTTCTGAATGGCTATAGTTAAGGGAATTGAAAATCAACAAAGATGAAGAACTTACAGCTGGAGCCATGGATCCCTCCCTATGTACTCCCAGGCTGGTGCTTTAGACCCTGGGAGCTCTGGTTGGTTGGTATTGTTGCTCTCCCCATGAGGCTGCCAACAATTTCAGCTCCTTCAGTCTTCTCTCTCACTCCTCCATTGAGAACCCCATGATCAGTTCAATGGTTAGATGTGAGCATCTGCCTCTGTATATGTCAGACTCTAGTAGACCTCTAAGGAGACAGCTATATCAGGATCCTGTCAGCATGCACTTCCTGGCATCCACATCAGTGTCTACCTTTGGTGACTGCACATAGGATGGATACCTGCTGAAGTAATTATTTAAAACGGCTGCTAGTCAAGCCCACTATCTAAGCTGCGGCAGCTCTGCCTAGCTCAGCTGCCATGTTCCATGGCCAGAGGCCATGTGCCCGCTGCAGCTAGAAATTGCCAGCCAGAAATACCAGCCCTGCCACCCATGAGATGCCAGCGTGGGAGATGGCTTTGTCAGTCTTCCATACTGTCTCCCCAAGGCTGGGCATTGCCCAGATCATCCGACCATCCACATGGGCCTGGTAGGAAAATGAGACTCTAATGCTTAAGTATTAGTCAAAGGCTTTATATGTTTGGTAATGCTCAATAACAATATGCCCATAGAATTAGAGTTGTTTCCCAATTAGCTAACCTAAATATAACTTGTTACCTGCGACTGCTCTCTATAACTGTCTGGCTCTTCATCCTCCTATATCTCTGCCTCCCCAGCTCCTCCTCTTCCTTTTCCTCTTCCTCTCCTTACTCCTCCCACCTTAGCTCCTCCTATAGATACCCATGTGGAACAGTTTCCAGACAACCCCTCCTTCAGTTTCTATCTCATGCTTTTTCTCCATATTTGCCCCCTTGAGTATTTTGTTACTTCTTCTAAGAAGGACCGAAGCACCCACACTTTGGTCTTCCTTCTTCATGAGCTTCATGTGGTCTGTGAGTTGAATCTTGGGTATTGTGAGCTTTTGGGCTAATATCCAATTATCAGTGGGTGCATACTGTGTGTGGCTCCAGCTGCATATGTAGAGGAGGATAGCATTGTCAGGCATAGGTGGGAGAGGAAGAAGTCCTTGGTCCAGTGAAGGTGGATGCCCCAGTGTGGGGGAATTCGAGGGTTGGGAAGTGGGGGTGGGTGGGTGGGTGGGTGGTGGCACATCCTCATAGAAGCAGGAGGAAGAGGGATGGGATAGGGGGTTCCTGCGTGGGGGGGGATGAGGAAAGGGGATCACATCTGAAATGTAAATAAAATATCCACTAAAAAATGTATACAATGAAAAAAAAGATGAAGAACTTACTACCCAGAGAATTAAGCTAGTGGAAACTTGTTAGTATGATGCCTAGTTTGTAAGAGCTCTCATGCTTTCAAGGTATTTAAATTTCAGAGATGTTAAGAAGTTCCAGGTGGTAATATTATGTTTATCTGTCTGGTGGTCTTTTCTGAGTATTTGAACCCTTGTACGTGTTGGAACATGGTCAAAAGAATGACCAATAGTGAACAGTACCTTCAGGAATTGTGAGAGAGGCACCAGGAAAAAAGGTAGATGGCCTTTTACCTCAGGTGCATTTTCTTCCTTGAATTGTTCTTGGATATGATTTTGTGCCTCCTGTGACAAGCATATATGTTCAACTTATAGGACAATTTTATTCTTGTTGCATGTCAGATCATAACTGTAGGACCAATCTCGTTAGTGTACCCTAAATCTTGATATGATTTTCTGCCTTGTTTTTGTACTTTTCCAGATATAATTGTGCCAGACAATTGGGTTTCAATTGCTGTGTCCTGAGAAAATTCTGGGAAAGGGCTCCTTACTGGAGTTAGTTTACATGTTTTTCTGAACTCAAGCAACCTTCCTTGGATCATTGCTTTCTTTGATACTTTTGTGTATAAAGGTACACTGAAACTGAAGTAAGGTTGTCTACAGCACCAGATCACAGTCTGCCCCATTCTTTCAGGTCCTTAGATCTCAGGTCTAGCAGACAAGGTCTCCACAGGCTGGCTGAAAACTAGACAGTATGCATATGCTGTAAAACTTCTTAACTCAAGTATTTGGGATGTAAGAATGTAGCTCAGTGGTCGAATATCTACTTAGCCTGTTTGGGTTTTGTTTCCAGTACCACAACTTAAGACAAAATGCAGCATACCTTCACAAAACCCACACAAAGAAGGACAATGTGATAGTTATGACTATTCCTTAGAGCTTATGGATGATTGTCACTATACATGTTGAGATGAAGCTAAATATAGAACATGTGATATGAAAGTAGAGAGTATTTAATCAGACCCATATAACTCAAGGTCGAGCTGTATATAAAAATTATATTCTTTATTAACACTCAATATCTGATATAAATTGTTAAATTCAATACTTAAGTCCTAACAAAAAGGGGTGCATTGCATAGGATATTTCTTCTCATGGTCTATATGCAAACATTTCAGTGAGGTAGAATGTGGTTTGAATAGGAATGGCCTCCATAGACTCATGTGTGCAAGCTTGGCTCATGGGAAGTGGCAATATTAGGAGGTGTGGTCTTGTTGGAGGAAGTGTGTCACTGTGGGGTGAGCTTTGAGGGCTCTATGCCCAACGTCCTCCCAGTGTGGAATTCCGGACTGCCTGGCTGCCTTTGAAGAGAGCCCCCTTTTGCTGCCTGGCAATCAAGATGTAGAACTTTTGACTCCTCCAGCACCATGACTACCTGACTGCTGCCATGCTTCCCACCATGATGATAGTGAATTGAACCTCTGAAACTGTAAGCTAGTCCCAATGAAATGTTTTCCTTTCTAAGTTGGCTTGGTCTGTGACATTGCATGGGCCTTCTAGCAAAGGAGACAGTTTGACTGGATTTCCTTGAGAACTCTTAGGAGTCACAACTGAATGACATCAGCTTCAAGAAAGAGTCTCAGCATATGTCTGGAGTGAACTTCAAAAATTGCTTGCTTTTATGGCTTTACAAATTAGAAGAAGAACATAAGTACCCAGAGAATGAAAAGAGCTCACAGAAGATCAAATGGTATTTTTCCCCTAGAAATCTGAGTGACGGTAGGCTGCCATCTTGTATTTATTTAGAATGTACTAAAATAAATTTATCTGTCTATAGGAAAAGTAGTCACCTTTTTGAAGGCTGTCTTTTATTTCATGTTTGTCACCATTTATTTGACATACATCATTCACAAATGTTTTATGTTGTTGCATAATTGGATTGAGTATAAGCTTCGGTTGCTTTCCCTTCCATTCGTGTGCATGTACAGCCATGGGAGAGTAAGCTTGTGGCCTTTGTAACTTCAATAACTCCTAATAACTTGAAATGGGGAGTTAAACATTGGGTTGAAAGATAAGAAATAACTAAGAATTCAATTCAAGTGCCAAGCAATACTTGCGTGATTGTAAGAAACTTTTATAGCTCAAAGCTAGAGAAAGTCTCACAAGATCATCTCATCTTGCTTTTATTAGCTCATCTCTTTGGTCTTTAGTCTCTGTCATCCATTTTCCATCTCATCTACATGGTCTTCTTTACCAAATCCTCTTTTTATTTCCTTTGTGGATGTCATTTTGGGGACAGGGTCTCATATAGTTCAGGCTCACCCCAAGCACTCTGTAGCTGAGAGTGACTGTGAACTCCTGACCCTTGCTGTAACTTCATGGTTTCTGGCATTACAGCCATGCACCACTACACTCAGCCAAACCATCTTTCGTTATTGAAATAGAGACATATATCTAAATATGAAAAACATTGTTTGAATTATGAGCCAATTTCAAGGATAGCAGTATGTGCCTAATATTTTCCCTTTCTTCTACCCACAGGATTTTAATCTCTGCTTTGGATATATTGAACATTCCAAAGTATGTATAAATGGTTTTATTTTTATAGTTTTCAGAGGAAATATATCCTGATGACAGTGATATCCAGAGAACTCTGGAAGATCATTTCTATTGGAGAAAAGCTCTGAAATATTTATTAGATTTATTAGCATTTGGAGTAAAAATGGAAAATACAGCTTAGCTTTGCTTTGAAGAGGAAAAGCTATTTTTCAATAAGCAACTACATTCCAGGTCATTTTGATTTTTATTTGTGAGTTCTTTCCTTAGCTCTAGGAAGATTTCATTTACCTCTTATGATTCTGTGGTAGCTACTGGGTAAAGTAGACAAAGAGAAGCTCTTCTTGTTGTGTTGATTTTGTATATATTTATGTCAGATAATTGGGGTCTACTATAGGATTATGTACCAGTTACCCCTGGGGACACAGTTTCTGGTTGTATTTCATATATGATGCAGAAGGGTAATTACTGCAAAAAAATTTTTAGTGGACTCAAATAATATAGCTGTATTTCTAGTTTATATCAGATCACAAAACGGTATTCTGGTGTGTTAGCAATTTGGTTTATGATCCATTGGGAACCAAAGCTTTTTACATCTTATCCATAACCAGCCTAAAAGTAAAGGAAAAGAGAGACTTTTCAAGACTTTAAAACATAGAACAAGAAGTCCAGAAGGACAAGGGGGGCAGTAATGGCCTCTAGCTGTTTGCTCAGTACCAGCTCAGTGTTCTAGTAAAGACATAGCAATGCCACCATGAAGTGATCTGAAGAATATGATTTCACCCACAATATTTTCTAGAAAGAATACATGTTTCAATGCTATCCAAATGGGAGATCATGACCTTAGAGAAACAAAGACTAAGATAAGACAGTGAAACTATACTGATTATAGCAACTGACATCTGTTTTCCACTGACCTATTTATTAAACATTAACTATTTCGGGCACTATTTCAAGTAGTCAGAATCTGGTCGCATTTCAAATAGGACCCATAAGGGCTTTTTGGTGGACTCAAAATGGAGTAGAGGGTGGTGAAGGGAGAGGGGAACCAAATGAAGATTCCAGGAAGAGTTGTCCTGGATCAGTGGATGGATGGAACAAACATTTATTACAGTGAAAAAGACTACAGAGGAACTTTTTGGGATAGGTCATGTAGTTAAATCTTTGACACTTTGGGTATTCCACTTAGAAGAGTCAAATATACGGCCAGATAAATAAGCCCGAGAGTCTAGGAAACAAGTTACACTAGACACAGAAATCTGGGAGAGCTAATCAAAGAGGAAGCATTGAAAAATTCGAAGTCCAAGCAAAAAAAAATCAGAGAGGGGTCAACTCAAATAAGGAGTGATCATGGACTGAGTCCCAGGGAACTACTAGTTGAGGGATGTGATGGAACCAGAAAAGGAAACTTAGAAGAAACTGAAAATAAGGGAAGAGAAAGGCAGAAGGAATTCCATCTTATAGCCATGTTGAGTAAGAAAACATCTTGCAAGGATGGTCCATTGTAATGGCAGCTAACTGATTAGCGGGTAGGGGGGGTTAAAGGATGGCATAGATTTAGCTATGCAGGGAGCCATGACGCTCTTCCCTAGAGTTTCTTTGGAGTAGTAGTAGGAGCCTCTGAAGTGAGATGGAGAGAGAACAGGGAGAATGAGCTAGAAGCTGTGAAACTCTTTTAAACGATGGACAGTAGGCTTGCTTGGACAAATGGGCTTGATGGACAGTGAGCAGGATGGGGTGAAACCAGGGTGTAAGAAAGAGAGAGGAGAATAGAAAAGGGAGAACGAGAGATAACTGTAAGAGGAAAGATAGGCATGGGCTGGGTCAAAGGTCTCTTTTAATGAGATCCGTGTCAGCAGATACAGGGGGAAATGGCATTTGAGAAGTCCAGGGAGGAGAGGAACAGAATGTCCGTATGGGGAAGTGTTCCAGAATGGGGGAAGTGTAATGGATTGGTTCCAGCATGGTTGTGGACTCCTGGAATCAGACATCTTGGAGTGAGCAGAAAATGAAGGGTGACCCGGCAAATGAAAATTCATGGTTCCAGGTGAATTTTGAGGAAGAAGGGTGCTAAGCATTTCACAAAATATAAAAAAGACAGTACAACATTCTCGGGGACCAGAGGCTTACACATGTAGTGGGAGCAGGGCCACCTATTTTGGGAAACCAGATTAACAATGACACAGATTTCCACATGGTAAAGCTAAATGAGTGGGCTTTCCAGTTTGTTTTGGACTTAAAATATGAGCCAGTGCAGGGGTGGGACTCGGATAAAACATAGCCTCTAGGGAGAGCTGTAAATAGAGACTTGCACATTATGTCTTCCAGACTGAAACAAGCAGCCTGATTTTAATAGCTTTGACTTACAAAATTAATATTCCTCCAAAGACAATTCACCCGATGCCAAAGCTGGTGCCAGGCTTTGGATGCTCACAGTGATGTCCTTTGGTTATTTTTTGTTTGTTTGTTTCCGTATTTCTTCTTTTCTTCTTCTTGCTAGAGGCTTCTGATCTTTTAGGCTTGGCTGCTAAAAGGAAGTCTATCTCCTCTATCTCCTGCATAAGACATTTACCAAAGGCAGAATTGAAAGAGAGCAAGAAGAGGAGGGGCAGTAAACATTTTGGATTGAATGGATTTCTCTTGGCCACAGAATCTCCCAAGTCCCTTTGTGTACACATAAATACTCTGTTTATGTCTTCTAGTTTAGACCACATAATTTTGAAATCAAGCTTTTCAAAGCATTCTCTTCTGGTTAGGAAAAGTTGAAAACCAGTTCTGTCAGAAGTCCATATATATCCATTAAAAAATAATTAAATACTCAAAGATGTCCAGCTTACTCTATCGTATGCTCAAATGTTAGTATTAAGCAGGAGCTGTTGCCATGAATGGATTTTCTTACTTGTTTTATAAAGTTTTAATTTTCAGATTCTACAGATTAAAGTGTCCATTCAGTATTACCAAGAGGCAAGAAGTAGAGACATCATTTGCTCATCAAGAGAATATTAAATTATTCAGTATTGTACACTGTATATGTAGATGGCATTGGATGGTAATAAGAGAAAATAATTTAAAGAACATCTTTTTATCCTTAGCAGTTGGCTAAAAATGTAAATGGATTTAGGCTTAGGATTGTTTAGATGTAAGTGGGTCCCAGGAATCCAAACACTGTAAATACGTTATCTTCTTAGCTAGCTCCCTGGCCTGACACTATGACACTACTCTTTTTTTTTTTTTTTAGTTATTTGCTAATTTGCTAATTTAAAAAAATGAGCACACTGTTATCATGAGTTACATGATAGTCATCATCTTGGTTCAGTGTAACTCCAGCCCCTAAGCAAGTTTAATGGGTCAGTGTGAATTCCTGATCAGAGTTATGGCAATATCGGGAGTTTGGGGTTTTAAATTATAGGTAATTGTAGGTCTGGAGTATCTACAGCTCAGGTGTGATTTGACACTCATGCTCTCCACACAGAGAAAAATGTAGTAAAGGTAATCTGCATATATTCTGGTCACGATGACTGGTTGGCAAGTCTTCTATTATGTAGGGCATCTCTTCACCCTTTAATCTGTTCCCTTGTGTGCAGTAGCTTCCTGATCTGATATAATAGCATTTGTCACTTTTTGCTTTGGTTTTCTGTGGGTTGTTTTGGGTGTGACACAGAAAATCAATGCCAATAGCAATGTCTTGAAGTGCTTTTCCTGTATTCTTCTAGTGGTTCCGGATCTCAAATTCAGTTTTTCACCCATCTTGGCTTTGTATACACGATGAGAAAGAAGAGTGACTTTATAAACGTTATAAAACAAATTTGAAAAATGTCCACATGGAAACAGCACTTGCTGAATATTGACATCTGAGAGTGTGATAACTGGACATCATTGGGTACCTAATTTTTTTTCTCGTCTTTTGCATGTGTATGTTCAATTTTCCCAGCATTTGATGTAGAGGCTGTCTTTTCTCCAATGTATAATTTTGATAACTTTTCTGAGAGTTATTATCCTAGTTTGCTGTGATAATCACAATGGTCAATAGCAACATGGGGGAAAAAAGGTTTTTATCGGGTTTCTCCATCCAAATCACAGGCTCTCATTGAGGGAAGCCATGGTGGAAACTCTAGCAGAGCAGGAACTTTAGCAGAGACCATGGAGGAATACTGCTTACTGGCTTGCTCAACATGGCTTGCTTAGTTTGTTCTTACACAGTCTAAGGATATGCTGTTCAAGGATAGAACCACTCACAGTGAGCTGTACCTTCTCACTTCCCTAATCAAGAAAATGCCTGCAACTTGTCTATAGATAATCTGATAGATGTATGTCTTCCATTGAACTTCCCTCTTCTCAGATGACTCCAGCATGCATCAAGTTGACAAAATGTTAATCAGCATTGTCATCAAAGTGCTGATCTGTTCCTGGGATCTCAAGTCTGTCCCACTTGTCAGTGTGTCTGCTGTTAGGCTAATACCATTCTATTTGGTTTGCTGAGGCTCTACAATATGTCTTGAAGTCAGGGTCATGATGCCTCTGACTTTGTTCTTCTTATTCAAAATTGCTTTGGCTATTTGGAGCCTTATCTCCTTCCGTATCTGAACATCATAGGGATATTATTTGGATGGGAATAATATTGCTTTCATTGTTTTTCTTTCAGTAAATGCTGTGTGCATACATAGACAATTACTGAAATTTCCATGTTGATTTTGTGTATTGTCCCATTATTTAAGTTTTGAAACTACTGTAAAATTATCATCCACGGTACAAATTTACACAAAGATGAAATAAACATTTGCCTGTCTTCTTACAAGCTGAAGATGATTATTCTTAATATATTTGCTCCTCATGGTAATTGTTATTATAGCATGGTTGGATTGCTTTTACTTATTCATTTAACCATGTGTGTTTTCACATCTGTAAAAATCCAGTTGACAATCTTTACTCATCTACTTTTGTCTTTATGTCAAAATTATTTTCTCATTGATTTGGTACAGAGGATACATTCATGATATTTTGAATTCTAATATTTTATATATTGC